CTTGCCATGATGGTAATTCATCATCTAGCTGAGGCATCTAAGCTGTATATTGAAGATAAAAACAACTGTGTACATGTGGGATCTCTGTGTGGGACAGACTACTGGCTGACCTAGCACTTCTGCATCAGGACACCTGGTATGCTCATTCATGCATGCAAATTAGTTTACACAAGCAGAGCTAATGGTAACTTTCTGATTTGCATGCGCTCTAACTTTTTGTTTGGTTTATGTTTAGTTTGCATGAATTTTGCATTTTAAATGCTGCAGCAAATGTTTATTGTTCACAGAGTCTTTTGGTTTTAGCTTTAAAGTGCATCATTTCCTTTAGAATGCCCTGTGTACTTGTACATTGTCCCTGCCTGTCTTCTGAAACCCTCCTGCCACGCTAGGAACAGAGCAATTACTTGGTGACAAAAGGGCCAAAATGGCTGGACATGGGCCTAGCAGATTACTGGAGGACACCTCATTATTGCAACAAGCTTCAACAATAGGTCTGGGCAATGCTTCATCTACATTTATCTGTCAAGTGTGCTATTAGCCTGTCAAATCGGTACAGTCAGTGCCATTAGGCCACCCTGAAAATCAGACCTATTTACCCTCTCATTTTCCTCTCCTTTACTGTCAAAGTCTCTGGCTCTGGTGGAAAAACAGCAACTTGTTTCTCCATCCTGCCTCATGTCTCCTCCCATTCCTCTTCCAACTCATTCTCAGACAGAGACAAGTGCAGCTGGTCATTATGTTCCTCTGAGAGCTGAAATAATCAAACATGGCATGCCATCCACCAGCAGGACCACTTTTAATTTCAAAACATACTTTTTAAAAAAAAGGATCTGGATAAAGTAGTTACTATTTCATTAGTCCCTGAGATATAGACAGAGTATTTTGTTCTACAATTCATGTTAAAATGGGCCAAAATGGCATTCATATGGCATTAGGTATTTCATCTCGGGATGTATTTGCAGACCTAAGTGCCCATCTGCCCTGGATGTAAAAAAAATAAAAGAACACATTAAAAACCGCAAATATATTGAAGTTTCAAGGAATCAAAGTACCCAAATATGTGGCCATTACATATACAAACATGAAGCGCACGGTTTCCAGTAACTATGTTTTGTCCTGCGTCAAACAATAACTCAACTGCATATGTGTGTCGTTGGGCTCAAACGAATGTTGTGAGTTTTAACTTGAAAACACCAATAAGATGTAGCCTCTTCATAGGGGTTTGTTTTGGTCCACCACTAATCCAGGGCTACCAACTCTCACACACTGAGCGTGAGACACACGTATCTGACCCTCTTCACATGCTCTCATGCCACACCTCCAATATCTCATGCTGAAGACTGTCAAAAAGCAACTTCAGATGTTTAAAAATAAAGGGTAATATGTCAAATAAACTGTAAAATGTTTGTTCATAAACAAACAATGTATCTCACAACAAAACAAATTAGTATATAAAAGGTTAAAGTGACAGTGTATATTTCCTGGCAATAGGGGGCCGTAGATACCTAAACCTCTGCAAGCAAGCAGTATTTTTGTGTTGGAGTAAGATCTTACCAATGGATGCCCATGAGGGTCAAAAAGCTCTGGGTAGTGCAAACTTTAGCAAACTAACTAACAACCACATCAGACTCTCTTTCATCACTGGCAACAAGTGAAGAGGTAAATGTGTAAAAAAACAACATTTAAGAATGGCAAAAGTTTTGTAACTGTTGCAAATGTTTTCCTCATGGGCTCCCGTAGAAGGAAACATGGTATCTAATATGGCGTCGCCCAGAGACTTGGGCCAATCTCAATACTCGCACTGCGCCCTGCGGTCTTCAGCAAAGTGCACTTGAAGAAAGTGCGCTGTAAGGCTTCGAGTGCGTGGTTCGCAAGTGTGCAAATAATTGCCAAACTGAGACAGGGAACATGGCGTCATCGATCGCAACGCATGCCATGATGCTCTTAAACCTTTTTCAAAAACCTTTACTAAAAACTTTCAAACAAACAATAAAGCAATAATTTGAAATAAATTTAATTTCATTGCTGTTTTGTCTAAAACATTCAGAGCATCAACTAATCATCTTAAAATGAACTAATTTATTTAGAAAATACATATTGTCAGAAAAGGAACTTGAGCCATTTCTCCTGCAGCAATGACTTGTGGGTAAAACCCTTGCCCGAGGTCCGCATCGCTGCGGACTTGGGTGAAGTGCAGATTAAGTGTGCAATGGGAGCATGGTCAACTTCCATACATGAGAATCGGGACACCCTACGCACTCGCAGACCTGGCCGGGAATGCGCAAATGAAGGGTGCAAGTACGAGCATTGGGATTGGGCCTTAGCCCCGCTCCCATGTATTTTAGACCTGATTTTTATGGTTATACAGGTGCTGGCCAGTAAATTAGAATATCATCAAAAGGTTGAAAATATTTCAGTAATTCCATTCAAAACGTGAAACTTGTACATTATATTCATGCAATGCACACAGACCAATGTATTTCCAATGTTTATTACGTTTAATTTTGATATTTATAGGTGACAACCAATGAAAACATCAAATCTGGTATCTCAAAAAATTAGAATATTCTGAAAAGGCTGAATATAGAAGACACCTGCTGCCACTCTAATCAGCTGATTTACTCAAAACACCTGCAAAGGCCTTTAAAAGGTCCCTCAGTCTTGTTTTGAAGGCACCACAATCATGGGGAAGACTTCTGACTTAACAGCTGTCCAAAAGACAATCATTGACACCTTGCACAAGGAGGGCAAGACACAAAAGGTGATTGCTAAAGAAGCTGGCTGTTCGCAGAGCTCTGTGTCCAAGCACATTAACAGACAGGCGAAGGGACGGAAAAAATGTGGTAGAAAAAAGTGTACAAGCTCTAGGGATAACCGCACCCTGCAGAGAATTGTGACGACAAACCCATTCAAAAATGTGGGGGAGATCCACAAAGAGTGGACTGCAGCTGGAGTCAGCGCTTCAAGAACCACCACGAGGAGACTCATGAAAGACATGGGATTCAGGTGTCGCATTCCGTGTGTCAAGCCACTCTTGAACAAGAAACAGCGCAAGAAGCGTCTCGCCTGGGCCAAGGACAAAAAGGACTGGACTGATGCTGAGTGGTCCAAAGTTATGTTTTCTGATGAAAGCAAGTTCTGCATTTCCTTTGGAAATCAAGGACCCAGAGTCTGGAGGAAGAGCGGAGAAGCACAGAATCCACGTTGCATGAGGTCCAGTGTAAAGTTTCCACCGTCAGTGATGGTGTGGGGTGCCATGTCATCTGCCGGTGTTGGCCCACTCTGTTTCCTGAGGTCCAGGGTCAATGCAGCCGTCTACCAGGAAGTTTTAGAGCACTTCATGCTTCCTGCTGCTGACCAACTTTATGGGGATGCAGACTTCACCTTTCAACAGGACTTGGCACCTGCACACAGTGCCAAAACCACCAGCACCTGGTTCAAGGACCATGGTATCCCTGTCCTTGATTGGCCCGCAAACTCGCCTGACCTTAACCCCATAGAAAATCTATGGGGTATTGTGAAGCAGAGGATGCAATACGCTAGACCCAACAATGCAGAGGAGCTGAAGACGACTATCAGAGCAACCTGGGCTCTCATAACACCTGAGCAGTGCCACAGACTGATCGAGTCCATGCCACGCCGCATTACTGCAGTTATTGAGGCAAAAGGAGCCCCGACTAAGTATTGAGTGCTATACATGCACATTCTTTTCATGTTCATTCTTTTCAGTTGGCCAACATTAGAGAAACAAACATTTTTTCATTGGCCTTTAGAATATTCTAATTTTCTGAGATACCAGATTTGATGTTTTCATTGGTTGTCACCTATAAATATCAAAATTAAACGTAATAAACATTGGAAATACATTGGTCTGTGTGCATTGCATGAATATAATGTACAAGTTTCACGTTTTGAATGGAATTACTGAAATATTTTCAACCTTTTGATGATATTCTAATTTACTGGCCAGCACCTGTATGTTACGATGCCGCCAATATTTTTCAACGACTGGGCATCATTTCATTCATTTTCAACAACATTTTGATGGATATTTCAAAAAATGAATGGTAAAAACTACACATTGTCACTTTAAAGGTGCATTATATAAGAATGAAGTAAGGACAACTTGTGGTCAAATTTAGGTACTGCATTTTCTAGACACACTGGTCACTATCTCACTATCGTTCCATGAGTTTCATGGCTGTTGTCAGCAACGACTCAATGCCAGAAGATTCTAGATGATGAGCAAATATGAGTCATACACAATAAGCTTATATGTAGAAAAATACATTTTACTGCAATTTACTGTTAGGATTGTTAGCTAACTTCCTTTATCCAACATTAGAGTAAAACAAAAAATGCAGTGGCCTCTTAGGGGTACAAGAAATAACTTCTGGTCACTCCTGTTTCGTTTTGGTGGCTGGTGCCGAATTACAAATGCCGGCCCTGCAGCGTTAGCTCAGTGCAGTCCCCGTAATGCCACGGACTCAGACTGTAAACAAACGTTACATCCCTCTTTAGCTTTTCTGTACGGAGAAAAACTGACAACCCCCAGTCGGCTGGGAAGGAAATCTATTTCAACGTTACCTTCCTTCCAACAGGATTGAGACAAAAGACTGTTTTGTGATTATTTCACAGTAAAATTCTTACATATCGTATGTTTTCTCAGTCTAAATAGAAATTTTGCAAAAGTAACCACTTTGATTTAAAGGGAAACAGCCATTAGCTTAGTCCAGAGGAGTAAAATATATACAGTTGTAACATATAGGTCAATCACCTAGCCACCTTCACTGTAAACTCAAAGTATTCATAAAACCTAGAATACAATCAAACTGGGCTTCGAAATGCAAGGGAATATTTCACAGTTGCAATGTCACAATTTCTAAATAAAATGCAATTAATGAGGTTAAGAAGAAACTAGACAGCTAAGTCAAAGACCACGTTTAAAATCAAATAATTGCATTATTAGGAGTTATGGAAAGGTAACTTTAGGTCCTTACCAGCCTGGTTGGTAGTGATGTCTATGGTGACGTGCTGAGCTGGGTATGGACTCTTGTTGCTAACACCATTCACAGCTTGTATCTCAAAGCTGTAAAGGGCGTGAGCGAGTAGGTTACTGATGAAGACCCTGGTTTCTGTCAGACCCAGCTGTCGAGGAACAAAATCCACATTGTCATCGCAGTGGGAACAAGAACGCCGGTCGGCTCGGCACTTCTTGCAAACGATATTGTAGACGACATCGTCCCGTCCACCCGTCTCCCTGGGAGAGTGCCACTCCAGGATGACCGAGGTCTCATTCACAATGGAGATCACATTTCTTGGGCTGGATGGAACACCTGGAAAAACAAAGCAACACTAATATAAGACACTTCTGATTGCATCAAGCTATTTTTACTATAAAAAGACCTTATCACAAGTAAAGATGTCATCACGCTCAAAGCAAAACACTGCTATGAAATTACACAGTTTGCAGCACTGTTATAAAAATAAGTGCTACTGTCCAACATTCTTGTGCAAAATTTCCCTGACACACAATTGAAATGCAAATGTATTCTATTCACATCCAGAGACATCATACAGTGAAACTTTAGTGTCTATCAAATATTGGTTATTTACGAAAATGTGATGTTGTACAGATCACTGATCTAAGTGGCTCTGGAAATATATGGTTGCATTCATTCCCTTGAAGCTCGCAGCCGGAGCAGAACTTCCAAAACTATATTTAGAAAGAAATCATGAACACAACCATTGTTTTGCACAAGGGGTGGCTCGAAATTAGGGGGGATGTTCAGCCTCCTGCAATTGCAGTGTGATTATTTAAGAGGTGAAATCTGCTGAAATGGCAGAGAAGATTTTTGCTTAGCTGACTCTGATTCCCTCCGGCTGCACAGAGAGCTGCTCTTCCCTCTCAAATACCAGAGAAAGCACAATCTCACCAAAGCCCTTGGTCAATGCTGCTCAGGCTGAATGCAGCAGCCCCGGAGAGGTAATCTGGTACCAATTTATCCTCCATAAAGCCTGGCCTTTATCATTAAAAGAAAAGTTATACTGACCCATTTCCAGCTCCGTGACTACTTTAACATTATCCAGTCAATTCTAGGAACTGTAGGGGAATTTTTCAGCACTCTAACAGACTACCCTCAGAAGTATTTATGGCTAAATAATAGTGCATAGATCTGTGAGTATATTACCATACATCACCTCAGTATCACATGTCTTTGGGAATGGGTCAGTGAGTTAGTTCATTCAACAAAGACGATTAATCATTGTTGTTGTAAAGCCAAGTGGGAAAGACCCAGCAAACCGGGACAAAGCGGCAAAACACACAAGGGTGAGCGAACAACCCTGGTATGGTTGCAACCTCATCTCAGTGCCTGAATGGCAGAGAGGTCAGTGACATGAAGTGCACGACCTCCACAGTGGGAATATTATGGTCTGGTTGAGGGGAGAGATAGAGCTCCAGATTCAGGTCAAATTGCACATAATGTGGTCATCGGATGCTAAGCGTTGCTCCGTGCTGTTCGGGAGAAATGTGGCACCAAAGGGTGCGTGATGGGTCGGAAGAGGTGCGGTTTTCTTAGGACCTGTTCAGTAAGCGCGTTGTGTGTTGCCCACTCACTGTTCACTCTCAGTATCATCCATCACTAACACACGTTCTCCCCAGAAGATGCACTGCTAGTGAAAACAATGTTACCTGTCAAAACTACACCGAAACAGTTTTTTTTCTACGATTGTGCCAATATTTACTCTAAATGCATATAGCTGATGTAGAATGCCACATTCCACAAACACAGGAAAATAATAAAGTCTATGTGGCTACCACTTTAGGAATGATTTGTGGGCTATTATTGCAGCGTTTGACTTTATCATGGGATTTATGTTTGAAGAAGAAGCTTAAAAGCACTAGAATGTATTTACTTATTTAGCCATCAAACTTGGCTGTGCTTGTATAGTACTTGCTGTCACTTAGGTTAAGTGAGAATTAAATGAATTGTGACATGTACTGATGTGTATTAATGGTGCAATCAAAACAAGGACAATTGCATTTAACACATGTGGCAGTTACAGTGACACATCTTAATGCTAGATAACTGGACTGACATGATGGCACAATCTGAACATGCTCACCAGAAAAAATGGTGAAGCAATGAACAGTAAATGGTGTTTAAAATGATGAGAAAAATCTTATAAATGCTGCATAAACTGACATTCCTAGATGGTTTTATTGTCAATATTAATTTCATACCATGCCATAGCTTCATACTGAGCCAGAATTAGTACAGGCTAAATAGGAGAAAAACAAAACCTGATTAAAGCAATTACACTTCATTAAGTATATATCCTCAACTAGCTGTTAGTCAGGTGGAGAAATAACGGGAGCAGTGTAGACACATAAACTCTAAAAACAATTATTACTACCAGGATTAATATCTGGTGGATAGCTGTTCTCTTCTCATGTGCAAGTCACCAATTTTTGTTCTTTGGACATTTAATACAAATATGTTTTGCTTGGATTGTACAGAAGGAAAAGGACAAAAAGTTAAGTCTATGAAGTTGCTGTCATGATTTGTTGGTGTTTGGACTGTGGATGATTTATTTGTTGGTTTACTTAATGTCATGTTAGTGTATTCTTTGTGCCAGTTTATTTAGTCATTTGTTTTTTTCCCATTTGGATTACCAACTTACGTCCTCTTCTGTTCTTTTAAATTTGTTTTCTTGTCCTAGAGGTTTCCTTCCCTGCTGGAAAAAACAAGCATAGTTGGTTACCAGCATACGTTGTGTTTTGGTGCTGCATGTTTGACCAGCATACACAGCCAGCATGCAGTGCTGGCCCAACATGCATTGCTGGTCCAGCATCCAATCACCAGCATCCTACACTGGACCAGCATATAGTACCAAAAAACAACACGTGCTGGTAACCAGCTATGCTGGTTTTTCCTGCAGGAATTCTGTCTCCATTTAGGTTTGTTCTTCAACGTCCCTCAGCTCCCCAGTTAGTGATCATGCACACCCACTTTTTTTTTTATTAATTCATTTTTATCAGTTTGCCTCTCCGTATTTTCTAATCACTTTCCTTGGTAAATAAATTCCCCCGAGTCATTCAACACCAGTCAGATCTTCCTGTTCCAACATGTTGTTAACCTGATTAGTTACTGTTGTTTTAGCTTTCTATTATGATTATGATTATGATGATGATTATTATTATTATTATTATTATTATTATTATTATTATTATTTTATATTGTTGTTATTATTATCATTTTTATTATTATTATCACTAATAAATACTTTTAAGTTCACCTGCCTGCCTCTGGGGGTTGTCATCTGCACTTGGGTCCTGTGCAACAACTCTGTGATGTGAAGCATTGCTATAAAAAATTTGAACAAATATAATTTCTTCCTAAAAATGCTTGTATAAAAAAATGTACCTCAATATGTTTCTAATAATTTCTTTAGTTTGTCCCATTTATCATAACAGTTGCTCGCCCACTGTTCCTACTCCTCTACTCTGTGGACCAATGAGAAACCACCAGAGTCCCACTGGTTACTATCAGCCTGTCAGTCCTCTTTTTCTGACTCACACATTGAGAAAATCCCAATGGCCCGGCATGCTGAAGCTGGCTGACCTTTTCCCTTCCGAACACCTCTCACATATGGGCCTACACAATAATTCTTTCTCTCACTTTCCCACCCTCGGGGGGAGGGACAGTTACTGTAGGTAACAATGTGACTTATAGTCCAGAGAAAGGAACCAGAAAGGTGTGGAGTAAAATGCAAAACTAACTTCTGTCCCAGAAGTACTTCTTTTACTTGGTAGTCCGGTTTAATGGAGGACTTCACACTGGGAGCCTGAACACTTGTGGTGTTCCCACCCTCAGGTCAAGATTGAAAACAGAACAAGACTGAGAAAAGGAGCGGTGAGAGAGGAAAAGGCAGCTTGAAATGCATCTCTGGGCTTGCATATTCAGAAATGTAAAAGAAGAGGCTTGTGGAGGTGTGTAGAGGGTTTAAAGCATGTGGCCCCCTGCTGCCAGAGCCTGGGATTGGACAATCCGTCAGCAAGCTAATCAGGCTGATTTGTAGCATACAGCGACCTGTGCTTCTGATGCTGCTGAGAAGCACTTAAGCTGCAGCTTCTGCAGCTACAGACTGGCCTGATTTAAGCTACTCTGGCAGTGGTCTTATCAGGACCCACGGTATTAAAGAGATTCTTACTAGGATGATCTCACTGCCCCCCCTGCTGTGCTCTATGGCATCCAGAAAATCAAGCTAAGCTGCTATAAGTTTCAACCTGCAGCAGATGCTCTGAATACGTCGCTGCAAAAGAATTACAATGGGGGGAAAATAGTTTTAAAGCTGCAGTTGAAAACAAAAGCTTTAGAACTTTTTTCAAAATGTGCACATAAGAATAACGAGTTGCGAAAAAAAACATAGCTATGGTAAAAAATGAATAAATGAAATCAGTAAGATACAGATACAGAGGCTCATTTCTGTTATTGAGAGCAAAATGAGGAGAATGTCTTGAGCAAAGAGGGGAAATCAGAAAAGAGCTGACAGAGAGGGAGATGCTTGAATGATTGAAATCAGGAAATAAAGTAAGAAGCTGGAAAGACCGAGGGGATCTGTTCGAGATAATCAGCGGGGAGCTTTTTGTGGAGATTGCTTGGAGGAAAATGCAAGGCCTCATCGCAGAAGCAGGAGATATAGCTGATGGGAAATATACCATGAGAGAAATGTTTTGTACCATGGGAGCACATTGAAGACGTAAGAGAAAAGACAGATGTCTTCCTCTTATAATGATAAAAAAAAAATATGTAAACCCATAGATTACACATGAAAAGCCAAGCAGCAGAAATGTATCCAATTCAAAATACATACCAAAGCTTCACAGAGAATACAAGTTTTAGCTGTGAAGGCTTTGTGGTAAGTATTATGAAACTAAAGTGGCCATGAGCCCATTCTTAGAGCCAATTAACCAGATTTGTTTGTTAATAAATAAGGAAGTAATTAACAGATAACCAGACAACTAATGCCTCCAGGTCTACTGTTCAGAGGAGAACAAACTATTCATACCCCACCCCCGATATACATCCCCCACTGTCAGCAAAAGAAAAGATGGTAAGCAAACTTTTTGGAGGTCTTCTGCATAACTGTGTGTCTGCTGGGACAGCAAGGATGCTTAGCATATTGCTTTAACATCATATTAAGATAACTATGATGCTGGTGAGGCCTTATTGGATCTCCAGCGGATAACGGCAGGACAACGTTGAAGCTTCACAGCATCTGCCTGAGTAATTAGGACTTCAGGGGATGATAACAAACAGAAAAAAGGAGAAAGTTAAAAAAAAGACAGAAGGAAAACAGAAGAAGCCTATTTGCAAAGAGATGTAGATGTGAATCAAATCCAACAATGTTATTATTACAATTATACTCAAAAGATGATTGGGGTGTGGATTTCAGGTTATTTGAGTGCTTCGTCATGCACTTGCTTTTACAAGTTTGCATGCTACAGGAAAAGCCTTGAGTGCGATTCTGGTCGTATGTCACACTCACTGGTGCAGGGTTCATCTGGTTGATCAGCGTCCCCGCGGTAGTAGCCATTACGACACACACAGACGGTGGCAGCCTCAGCTGTGGAGCGACTGTTGGGTGGACACTGGAGACAGAGACCTGGGCCTTGTGTTGACTTGAAGGTACCTGGTGGGCATGCTGTAACAAAAACAACAAGAACTATTTTTATCAAATTAACAAGAAGAACAAGACAAATCACACTCATGAAGTCAAGCATCTGGGAAATGAACCTGCTAGAATGATTTACTTAGTTTGATTTATTAATGCATATTCTAATGTCATAACCAAAAATTGCACTTTCAGCACTTTTGCTCCCTTATGGAAAAGGTGTATTAATATGGTCTTTATGTATTAATATGTGATATGTATTCTGTATTAATACTGTCGTTTTGAAAGCAAGTTGCAGCACTTCGTCGATGTCCAGACGGAGCTCATTTCAGTTTGTTTCTCTGATGGTAAACCTACACTCATGTAACATTTTGTTTACTGTATTCCAAAAGTCTCGATCCTTTATCCATCAAATCCCTTTATTTGCAGACCTCCAAAAAATAACAAACAGGGAACATGTAAGTGATGCTCTTGTCTTTTTACCCCAATCCAAATGCATCACACAATAAGCTGCGTTCATCATTCAAACACATAAGACAGAGATAAATTGAAGACAGTTTAGTTTCTTGATCTATACACATGTAACATCCAAAAGGGTCAATTTTCACCTATATATTGACTAACACAATAACCTTTCATCTAACAGAAATACAAATCCACTTTCTATGGGGTCTTCTAAATCCAGAAAGTTCTGCTAAGCGTGTGTTGACATTCCATGAAGACAAAACATCCAGACCAACATTCTCTCCCAAGGTTCTTGCACTCTCTGTGAATGCCAGACGTCAACATTATTCACTCAGAATAAGTGAAGACTTCATGATTTTATAGTTATAAGTTAAACAATCATATGTGATGAATGAACAAGATGTTTAAATGAAATGTTTGAATAATATGTGCTTAAATCAATGAACTTGACATGAATATTGTTCTTACAATGATCCATTTATGTCACAAATCAGTATGTGTTTGATTTAACAAGTTAGTCATTGTTTACACTCATACACATTACAATACGATACATATTAAGGTTAAGAATTATGTATCTGAAGGAAGGCGTGGCTTTCTGAGGGATGTTTTGGTAATGCCGTCCAGACATGGCACATGTATTATAAGTTAAAGGCATCATCACACACTGGTGAACTAACCCTAACCTCACATCTCTGCATTTTATCCATTCTCACTGCCTGGGGAGGGATGAGCTGCAGCAATGGCTGTGCTCGGGAACTATTTGGTGGTTAAACTCCCCAATCCAACCCCTTTGGTATGACCTCACTGGGATTTGAACCCCAGTCCCAGTCCTATGGTGGACGCTACCACTAGGCCACTGAGAAGGTGATGATAACAAAGGAAGCATCTCGGATCATTGATGACTTTTTCTTCTAGTCCTGTAATTTTCTGTCTTTCATAACCACAACTTCAAAAATGTAAGAAAAGTGATGACTTTAGTTGGACTAACAGGACAGAGAACTGCTGCATGGGTGGTTGCAATTGTTTTTAAGAAGTCCTAAATCAGAAAGACTGTGGTAGAGGACAAACATGATTGTGTCCGATATCACTGCCCCTAAGTAAAGGCAATAACCTAACCCATTTACTCTCGCACCTCAAATGTGTACAAAGCTGAGGAGATTCAGCGCAGTATGGAAGGATTTAATGACCATAATAACTATGATAAATGTCTGGTATTTTGGCGAGTTTTACTGGTGGGGGGAGGATGCTGTGCTGTTGCCACACTCTTAAGGAGGAAGGGTCGTAAACGTAATGGGACAAGGCTGATTGATTGCAACAGCTTGACTGTAGATGTAGGGTATACTCATAATTGTGTAAAAACAGAAGTTTTATTCCCTTTTTTATAGCACTTAGGTAGCAGTTAAATAGGGGAAGTATTTAGAGAAATACATATGATGACACTGAAAGAAAACAACAAATGCATATAAGGTATTAAGTCGAAAAGAGTTTTAAAAAAATGTTAAGTTAATGTTATGTTAATCAGCAGATGTGTTTTAGATAATAAAAGCAAAACAAGTTTTAATCAGTATTTAGTTAACTAGCTTAGAATGGGCTCAGAGAGTCTTTTTAGCTTGATGTCCTTGGATTTGGTCACATTCTTTATTCTAGTCAGAGACAACACATCTGCCTCTGCATCAATGTGGTTTAAAAAACTTAATCACCCATCATTGAAACGTGATTTGTGGTATTTAATAATGTTTTGGTCTGTGAGGTGACCTTTTGTGTTGTTTTAAAAAAAGTATTTTGTGAACACCTCAATTAATTTGAATTAAACTGTCAAGACATAAAATCAGGTCTGTGACAACAACTTTTGAAAAGATGGCCACTATAGTTTGTGGGCAAACACAGCTATCAATACATCTCAGTCTTTTTTTTGCAAAAATCTAATTAAAATCAGTTGCAGGTACACTTGAGGATTACATCTGATACACAACATAAAGATCTGATCTGATAAAGATCTTTGTTTAAAATATTGCAATTAACTAATAATTAACTCTGTCTAACATTCTTAGAATCGATCACTGGAGATATCTTATAAAAACATTTGGATGTTATAATGCTGAACAGCTAAATAAAGCAAGAAAAACACCACGACTGACTGGGTTAGGGTTATCGAGTTATTGGTAACTCAAAAAAGTAGCTTGGGAGGATTTTTTTAGAGCCAACTATTTGCTTCTGGTCACTGTTAGCATTGTTAGCTCAATGGTAGCCTCTTACCTGCTTCACCCATTATTAGAGTAAAAAAAAAAGATGCCGTTGTTTTTTAGGGCTGCAAGAAAAAACTTCTGAGTCAGTTCAGGTTAACTGGCTTTGGTTCTTTAAACAACTCTGGAACTTTTGCCTGCCAGTGTCAACTTACAAATGTGGATGCTGCAGTGTTAGCTTGATGCAGACTCGGCAACCTCACAGTCTTCAGCTGGGCGGACACTTTGCGACTTTTTCACTCGTAGCACTCAGCTTCAGCTCAAACTGTACGCAGGGCAGATCTCACGAGTCATGTGCTCACACTGCACGACCCAGTTCTCGGATGCGACCTGACTGCTCACACTGTAAGTCTGGTAGCAACATGTCGGACCTAAAAATATGCTAAAAATAGCAGTTTTTACACAACACGTCAGACTTTTTTGTCTTGCCTGTTGTCCTTCGGGAGTGCTGCAGGGGGACACACAGGGATTTATGGGGGTTGGATGAGGAAAACGAAATAAAGTAAATCTGTGTTTTGTGATCAGTTTAATTTGACATGAACACGACAAACACACTTTCTTGATAATCCTTGTCATTGTGTGTAAAAAAACGCTTAGAAATAAAAACGAACAATGTGTGTTATTAGGGAAATAGTGGGCGAGCGGTGATGATGCATGATTGCGCATGTGCCGTGAGCGGTTCTGATACTTTTTGGGTCGCAGCTGCTCGCAGCGCCGCTTCAACAGTGCGATACCCTCACGCGGGACGAGCAAAATATCAAACATGCCAGAAGTCTGTGCGAGCTCACGATTGCTGATCGGTAGCTGGTCACGTGGTGTTAATCGCCTCTCGTAACCCCCTGTACACTACACGACGCTCAGCGCAAAACTCTCCCCGATCTCGTAGATTCTCGAACGAGTGGAAAATCGGCTCAAAAAAGTGAAAAAGTCGCACAGTGTCCGCCCGGCTTTACGCACTGTAAACAGTTATTGCATCCCTCTTTAGTTTTATTTGAAAGAAAAAAACTTAACACCCCCCCAGCCAGCTGAGAATGAAATCTGTTTCAATGCAACCATCCTTCCAACACGATTGCGACGTTAAACTGTCTTGTGATTATTTCACTGTCGAATTCTTACATATTTCTCCATTAAAGGAGTCAGCCAATTCCACAATGTATTGATGCAAGGAGTCACACCTGCTTTTATTCTGACACTTCTTTTTGGACCATATGTTCTGGCTGCTACAGACACAGATGAGAAAAATACACATGAAAGGATGAAAAAACAAAGTCACACAGCTAAAACCACGCAGCATCTCTTTTGCTGTGGCTGCCAGGCACACCAAAGGGTAACTGACTGACCTACATCTAGTCATAAAAAAGCTGCCATGCTGCCCCATTCAAAGCATGACTAGATCAAAACCTCCTTGCACTGCTCATGAAAGAAGGCTGTGGATACTCCTGAACTTTCTGAAACATCAGAGCATGTAACCGAACAGTTTGCAATGGTCCCAGAGGAATTGTGGGATATACTATAAAGGCAATAAGGTCTCTATGAAAGAGAGAGATGATCTGTTTCTGTGTGTGGGAGTAGACGTTTGAAAACTTCCACGACACTCAACACAAATTTCACATGAGACAACAAACCTCACCTAAAACGAGAACACCGAGGGAATTTAAAAGTGCTCAGTTTCCATATGTGGAAGCACAAAGCAGTTGCAGAGTTCTTTTATGGGGCAATAACCAGCAGTTTCAGACGCTACAAGATGATGAAAACTCAGAATAAAAATGAACTTTCGGGCAGGCAAAGAGGACGGAACATAAAGTGCCATCATTGTTGACGAGTAAAATTCAAACGGGAGAAACAGAGATGCGCTTGCATCCAGATGGCCATCTTACAAAGATGAACAGCAGTTCTTCAAAAGAGTTAAGCTGGCCTTTTAGAAGATAGGTCACAATAGGTTGTTCACTGTGTGTTTAATGGAGTGTAGGCGAAATGTGTGGATAGGGTTGTGCCCTCGGGTTGTGTGTTTACAGTCAGACTGCAGCTTCCCTGGACACTCATGAATGTGCAAAAAATGAAAAATAAAAAAGAAGATGGAAAAAGCAGAGAAGGCTGTGCTGATTCAGCGATCTGAGCGAGCAGCACTGCAAATGGGTTTCAAAGAAAACTGAGCGAGTGAATAAAATGCACACAAACGTATACCCAGCCTCAGAACACACACGTCCTGAAACCTGAAAAAACAACAACAACAACAACTGGCATTCAGTGATTTACATAGCAACACATGTAGCCATTGTTGACCCCCCGTTAAATGAGATGCTGGGCTTACGTTTTATG